TCAGGGTGCGGTTGATCCGCTCGACCAGCCCGTCGGTTTGGGGGTGGTAGACGGAAGTTTGCAACTTGTGAATGCCCAGGATGTCGCAGACCTGACGCAGCAATCGGAACGTAAAGTTCGTTCCTTGGTCTGTCAGTAATTCCCGAGGTAGCCCCACCCAGGCAAAAATCCGAACCAACTCATTCGCGATTGTGCGGGCCCGGGTGTTTCGAAGGGGGATGGCCTCGGGGAACCGGGTTGCATAGTCCATGATCGTTAAAATATATCGAAATCCAGCCGCGCTCCGCGGAAAGGGCCCCACTATGTCCAAGGCGATCCTTTCGAAGGGGGTCCCTACCACGGGCAAAGGGACGAGGGGAGCCTTCGGCACCCCGGGGGCTGCGGCGAGCTGGCAGGCTGGACATGACTGACAATAGTCTTTGACCTCTTTGTACACCCCGGGCCAGAAGAAGCGGGCCAAGACTCGGGCCAGGGTCTTCTCATGCCCGAGGTGCCCGGCGGCCGGAAGGTCGTGCGCCAACCTCAGCACGGTTCGTCGATGGACCCGGGGTACCAACAACTGGGCCTCTTCTTCCTGCGTCTGCGGGTTCCGCCCGACCCGATAGAGCCGGTCGGCTCGTAGCTCAAACCGGGGCCAGTGAGCCGCCCTCTGTGGATCCACCACCGTCCCATCCACACAAGCAAGCTGGACGTAGGCCTCCCGCAGGGTGGGATCCTCCCGCTGGTCACGGGGAAAGTCTGCCGAGTCCAGTGTAATCGGCACGTCCTCCATGTCTGAGCGCCCTGGGTCGGCCGGGCCAGATGCGTCGTGCTTGGTGGGGCCTTCCCGGTCGAGCGACCCCGGCGGTCGGTCTGCCTGGAGTTCCTCCCCTAGGAGTTCCACATGGGGCTCGGTCGGCGCTGGTGAGTCTGTAATGAGAGCTGTAAGACCTGGCCAGTCGCGACCCAGCACCATAGGGTATGGTAGGTGCGGCACCACGCCCACTCGCATCATTCGGGTGACTCCCCGCACACTCAAGGGGAGCCGGACCTGAGGATAGGTCTTCACATCCCCATGGACGCACCGCAGCTGCATCTCCCCCTCGGGCGCCGCGGTGTCAGGCAGTACATCGGGGCGGATAAGCGTCTGGCTGCATCCCGAGTCAAGGAGGGCAAACACCGCGGGATCCCCCACGGGTCCCCGCGTGGTCAGGGATGGGGAGCTAGCCGGTGGAGTCGGGGCGGCCCCCATACCGGCCTGGTCCTGCTCCGCCACCTCCTGAAGAGCCTGGCGGTACTGGGCATCCAGCTGCTGTACCAGCCTCTGCTGTTGTCGGAGCTGCGCCGCCAATCGTTGGGCTCGCAGCTTCACTGGCGGCGGTCGCCCCTTAGTCAGTCCTTCAGGCATTGTCTCCCCCTCCATGGCCCTCCCGCCCAAGTTCGCCGAGAGGGGAGGAGGGAAACCCCACAAGCTTC